CTTTAATGTTGTGCAACATTCCCGCTAATGTACTAATCTGCATTGAAACAAGACTAAAATTAAGTTTCTTCTTCAGTGCATCTTCTGGAGGCAAAATAAAAAATTGATTGTACCCAAAACACACCACAAGCAGAACATCTGGTTATGGATAGACGCTACAATTTACAGATATTCCCTTAAATACCTCTCATGCACGCGGGGCTTCATACGAGCCAGGCTGCTGTCACTGAGAATAGCTGCAGCACATCACCAACATCACCAGTTGTTTTGTCATTGATATATAGTTGACGACCTCATTTGAATTTCTCTCCTCAGCAGCTCAAGTCCAACAAAGCAGCCGGTTGTTCGCTTCAAAAGAAACAAACACCACAAAGGGTCCATCTACTGTGTGGCCTGGAGCCACTGTGGGCAGCTGCTGGCTACAGGCTCCAATGACAAATATGTCAAAGTCCTACCTTTCAGCGCAGAGACGTGCAATGCCACAGGTGAGCGTCCTCTGCACGGGTACATGTTGACAGTTCAGTTTGATCACATCGGCGTTCTCATTTTCGCTCGTGTCCTTGTGTGTCTCAGGCCCAGACCTGGAGTTCAGCATGCATGACGGCACCATCAGAGACCTGGCCTTCATGGAGGGTCCAGAGAGCGGAGGGGCGATCTTGATCAGTGCCGGAGCGGGAGACTGTAACATCTACACCACCGACTGTCAGAGAGGACAGGGTCTGCACGCCCTCAGTGGGCACACAGGTACGCTGATTGATTCTTCCTTCCACCTGGAACTCATGGAAAGATTGAAACTGAGAAATGTATAATGTGTTTATTTCTCTCCAGGTCACATTCTGTCTCTGTATACGTGGGGAGGCTGGATGATCGCTTCCGGCTCTCAAGACAAGACGGTGCGTTTCTGGGACCTCAGGGTACCCAGCTGTGTGCGAGTAGTGGGAACTGCTTTCCACGGCTCAGGTATGGCTCCACTTGTGTTGTGAGTTTCATCTAAATGTTGCTCTTATTCAGCAAATCCTTGGAAACTGCGAGCAATGTGTGATACCAGAAGTAGATTATACTGGGTGCTCATAATGATTCTCAGTCAGAGGAGAATGATTTTATTGGTATTCATACAGCTACGCCCATTCTTCACCACACAGGCAGTCCTGTTGCCTCGGTAGCAGTCGATCCTAGTGGCCGTCTCCTAGCAACAGGACAGGAAGACAGTGCGTGCATGCTGTATGACATCAGAGGAGGGCGCATCGTCCAAGTGTACCGGCCACACACCAGCGACGTTCGATCCGTTAGGTTTTCTCCTGGAGCGCACTACCTGCTCACCGGTTCCTATGACACAAAGGTCATGGTCACCAACCTCCAAGGTACGTCGAAGAGAGGCATCAGAGGGCAGACAGTAGTTAGAGGCTTCATCCAGCATTTCTGTCTTTATATGAGCCAGTCTGTGGTCATTAGAAGCGGACGATAAGGACATTTGTCATGGTGGTATGGCTGCTTTGATATTGTGATCCATATCAGAAAATGCCCTTCTGTTAAGTCAGTTGAGAAGTATAACATGATAAGAAGGAAAGGCCTGCTATTGGCTAAAAAGGACATGTTACGATGTTGGATATTTGTAGCCCAGAGCTCAGGCTTCTGACTGCTCTGACCTCAGCTTGTCACAGATTTCTGTATACATTCATCTACAGGCACAAATCACAGACAGAGCTGCTTACTAGCACTGGCTGCTGTCACACTGAAGGCATCCACAAGTTGGCTAGTCAGAAGAATGTGGGTTTTTAAAAACACGAACTAAAACTGCTTGTTTCCGACAAGCTGCAACTCTGGAGCTGAAAAACGAAGCCGACAGGGAGGTGCCAGAAACATTTATACAGTTCCATAAATGGCCACTTGACGCCGGCTCCAAAAGCAGGTCATTCCCATAGACACTTATGTTAAAATGCCCAACTTTACAGGAGAAATAAACATGTTTACAACCTGGTGCAAAACTGTTTTTGGTCTCTATGGCTAATTTTTCGGTTTGTGGAAACTGTACAAGTGAAGCATTTTTCTATAATTAAACTGTAAAGATGCACGGCTCACCTCAGCTCCACTTCTCCTCCACCTCTTTGCTGTTAACAGGGATACAAACTACTCACTTTTCAGCAAACGCTTGCTTTTTATTTCACGCCAGTTTGGTGAGAGGATGAACTGAGGGGCTGCATAAATTGCCTGTAAAAGAAAAAATAGTGTTTTCTTTTAACTGTGAATAATGCAAAGCTTCTCTAGTAGAGCTGAAAACGAGCAGAACATGAGTCAGAAAGCCTGTATGTGTTGCCAGAATGCAGATATGTGCAGCTTTGCCCACAGTAACCCAATGCATTCGCTGATATCAGGGGAATGCAGACCTCGCTATAGACTGTATAAGAAAAAAAAAAGACCTTGCTTACTTGAGTGTGGACAGCTATGGACTCTTGGACACCACATTGTCCAGTCAGTACAGGTTGCATCTGTTAGCGCTGTTAGCTCCTTGGATTATCTCCTTTAACTCTTTATATGCTCACAAAGACATGCTTCAACCTGCTTTATTTGCAGAAAAATCTCTCTCTCTATATATAACTGTATCTACTGAGTTTCACAGCTAAGCAGATTGTTGCAGGGTATAAAAGGAAAACCGCCTTCAGCAGGTGTGTGTGTCATACTTTTCTATCTCCTCTGTGTTTCCAGGGGATCTGACCAAACAGTTGCCTCTGACTGTGGTGGGAGAGCACGGCGACAAGGTGATTCAGTGTCGATGGCACACACAAGACCTGTCCTTCCTCTCGTCCTCGGCTGACCGCACTGTCACACTCTGGACACACAACCCTTAAAACACACACACACAGACAACCAGTTACTCTAATCTGAAAGACATACATTCCCCTAAAACAACACTGCTCCTCCTGCACTAAATACACTGTCTGTCACCTCCTTTAAACACTGTCTAAAAAACACACACATGCGGGTACACACACACACACACACACACACACACACACAGGTGATTGAGCCTTTCCCTCCTGTCTGTAGAAACCAAATGGATACAAACCCGGGACACATCGAAAGCACACATTTTGCATGTTCTGTTTCTTTACATCCCCCCACATTTATCTCCCCCGGTTGTAAAACTGCAGGATTTATTCATCACCGTCACTTTTCATCCCCTTTTTCCACGTGGTGTCGTCCTACATGTTCACTCCCTACAGACACCGGTCACTTCCTGCATGTTGTTTTCACCGGAGAGTTGTCAAGCTTAGACAGGAGTGCTTTGTTCATGATGGTGCCTTCCTTGAGTTCTCAGTTTCCATAACAAAAAAAAAAAAGAAGTAAAAAGAAATGATAATATGGTCATTTTTCAAGATCAAATTTTGTTAAGTCATTTCGAGAGGTCGTACATTCCTTCTTTTTTTTGCATATCATTTTCTTACAGCTGGTGTAATGCTGCTATTGTTTAGGAAAACAAAAGTCGATGTAAAGTGTAATTTTTTCAGTGTATCAGTAGTGAGCCGTTCCTTGCAGGAGGCTAAATCTGTGGAAGTCATACTATCTGTTGCTTCCCCGTGGGATGTACTGAAGTCTAATGTTACTGTATCCACTGCATTACTACAACTCAAAATGTGTAAAAAGAAAAAAAAAAAGTTATTGTAGCTAGTGCGTTTGTTTTGAATTTGAAATCAGTGTTTTTCGCGCTGAAGCTGTTACGCTGTCTTGCAATGGCTTGCTTGCAATGGAAGATCGTTATTATGTCGGCATCAAAGGGAAATACAACACACGGTTTAATTTGGTTGACTCAACCTTACCTTCATTTAGGACTTTTTTCGTGTTCAGAGGCTTTGGTGTGTCTCCTGCTATATTAGTAACATAACAGTAGGTGGCAGTCTTTGCCCATAACGAGGGTCGAACCATATGCACAATGAAATCTGGATGGAAGCACGGGTGTTTTGATATTTATTTAGAACCAGTATTTGGGGCATATGCATTGTATTCTTTTCTTGTATTTTCCATGAGCACTTTGTCTTTTAACATTGTCCTCTTACATTGATTTACTTACAAAGATGCATATTTAAGTTTTTTTGTTCATGTATAGTGTATATTATTTTAACAAATAAGGCCAAACTAATACATAGATGTATTTATTTCAGTTGTGTTTATGTATGTACAGTCATTAGTTTGTTTCTGAAATGCTAGTGGCTCTTGTATTAAGCCTTTTTAATTCTTGTTTTTAAAAGTGACCTAAATTAATTCAAGCTAACTGAAGTCTGATTGCTGGTACGTTCAATAAAGTGTCTTTTACACAAAATGTGTACTTTGTGTTTTGTTGTAATGGATACTTAACATTAAAAAACACACAAAAAAAATCTGAACAAGATGCGTACATGAATGAAGTTTTATTCAGGGTTCCCACTCTTGTGCTGAAATTATTTTTCCAGGACTTTTCCAGGACATTTTCAGCTGCTACAGACACAAGTTATCATACGCTAATACATTCCCCTGTCCCCCTCATTCTTTGGAAGTGTTTTCTACAGTTGTAGCTTGCATTTACCCAGATTGTTTTGCTGTTTACTACTCAGACATTTGATGTGCAGTCTATGGCTATAATTTATCTATGAAAAATAATTATAACAAATATATCAGATATTGGGCTGTTCAATAAAATAGCAGTGTTTGCATTTTTCATTACAAACTCAAATATTTACTCATTAAAATGAAAAAAAAGAGCTTCAGATTTAACATTCCTGTGAATCAGTAAACTACTATTTCGTTGTAGAACCACTGTTTTTGAGAACTGCTTGACATCTGTGCTGCATGGAGTCGACCAGCTTCTGGCTCCTGTAAACAGGTATTCCAGCCCAGGATGATTTGACTACCTTCCACAGTTCCTCTGCATTTCCTGGTTTTGCCTCAGACACAGCATTTTTAATGTCACCCCACAAGTTTTCTATTGGCTTAAGATCTGGGAATTGGGCTGGCCGCTCCGTAACCTTAACAAGTCACATGATACCGGGGAGGGAAATTGGGCCCAATTTGGATATTTTTACTTAGGGGTGTGCTCACTTAAGTTGCCAGTGGTATTGACGTGAATGGCTGTGTATTACATTGTTTTGAGGTGACAGTAAATTTACACTGTTATACAAGCTGCACACTGACGACTTTACATTGTAGCAATGTGTCATTTCTTCAGTGTTGTCCCATGAAAAGATATAACAAAAATTAAAGCCGCAAGCGGCGATGGACGGGTCCTCGCCCCACGCTTGTCGGCCTGGTCCGGGCGGGACTGTGATCCGGCATGTCAAGTTTGGGGCAGATCAGAGCAAGTATGGCCTAGTTACGAGCCACTTCCTGTTTAGTGGCGAGCCGCGACGGCGTGCGTG